CTCACTTCTAGGAATATATCCTAAGAAATTAGAAACACCAATCAGAAAAGATATATGCATCCCTATATTCATAGCAGCACAATTTTCAATAGCTAAGACTTGGAAACAGCTTAAGTGCCCATCAGCAGATGAGTGGATTAAAATGCTGTGGTACCTAACACAATGGAATACTATGCTGCTGTAAAAAGGAAGGAACTGCTACCATTTGCAACAGCATGGATGGTCCTGGAGAGCATTATGCTAAGCAAAATAAGCCAATCAGAGAAAGATAAATATTACATGATATCACTCATTTATGGACTATAATGAATAACATAAACTGATGAAATAAAAACAGATCAAGAGACAGAGAAGCATCAATCAGATGCTCAAATCTCAGAGGGAAGGTAGTTGAGGGTGAGGGTAAGGGGGAGAGATCAACCAAAGGACTTGTATGCATGCATATAAGCCTAAGCAATGGACACAGACACCAGGGGGGTGAGGGCATGAGCAGGGCATGGGGTTCGGGGACAAGAGGGGGATAAGGACACATATATAATACCTTAATCAATAAAGAAAGAAAAAAAGAACAACAAAAATGTGTATAGATTTAGAAAAAATAAAGGATGATTGAAAAATGCACAGAAAGTTAAAATAAATGGCTGGTGCAGAACACAAGGTGATGAACTGAGGAGTGTATACTCTAATTATGTAGAAAAAGGAAGTAATTTTTTTTTTTTGAAACTGGGTACAGAAAAGACATGATATGACAGAAATTGGAAGGGTTAAAAATGGGGCTTACTAACCTTTTATTTTTTTACTTTTCTTTTAAATATGTATTTGTTGATTTGAGAGAGAGAGGAAGGGAAAGGGAGAAACACCAATGTGAAAAATCAATGACATTTTAATTTATAATAATAAAAGCATAATATGCAAATCAACCAAATGGCCAAATAGCAGAATGACTGTCCAGACATTCTTCCAATGATTTTCCGGATGAAGCCGGGGCTGTGAGGGCCAAGGCATCTGGGGCTGCAAAGGCCTGCCCTTGCACGAATTTTGTGCATTGTGCCTCTAGTATACTAGTAATGTACTCTCAGAAAGAGAAACCATGTCCAGAAAAGTTTCCTTAACTATAGCGACCATCCAGATCGTTGTGATTGGCAAGTAACCTTAATGATTTAGGGTACAGAATGTGATATTATCAGAAAATTATAGCTAAAAGGTTACTTTCAATAATGGTAATTTAATTTAAAAATGAACAAAGTCCACAAAAGAAAACTACAGAAGAATCTATTTGTACTTCTAATCTATAAGAACATTTTTTTATATTGTGAATTCTGTATGAAATGTTGGATCATTTTTTGTAAACATATAGGAAAAAATAAATCTAATATATTTTCTTGTAGTCTTCTCAGAGTGTACAACAATATTGATTTCTCTGAGTTGCATTCTTATTGAAACTGAGTTTTTTAATCTATCTTACCTAATAATAGACAAACATGTAAATTGACTGTACCTTCGCTACACTAACCAGCCAATCAGGAGAGTATGCAATTTAACCCAACAAAGATGGCGGTTAATTTGCATACGTAGGCTCCAAGTGGTGGAGCAAAGCCTGACAGCCCTGGGGCCGGAGCAGCAAAGCCTGATGGCTCCGGGGCCAGCTCCAGCCAGAGTCCGGCCAGAGCGAAGGCCTGGGTCCCGGGTGCCAGAGGCAAACCGGTGCCAGCAGCCAAGGGAAGGGAAGGCCTATTGCACGAATCTCTTCGTGCAACAGGCCTCTAGTAATTCTATAACATACTATTAGTCACAGGGTCATGAGACTTTGTAAAAAAATTTCTAATCATTACAAAGCGAAACTTGATTTTGATGACCCAGAGCAAGAATAAACCTAGTGCAGCTCCAGCCAGTTTCGGTCAGTGAATAGAGCGTCAGGGACCTAAGGGTCCCGGGTTCAATTCCGGTCAAGGGCACATACCACAATCGCAAGCTCTTCCCTGGCCTTGGTCCTTGTCAGGGCATGTGCAGGAGGCAACCAATCTAGGTGTTTCTTTCACATTGATGTTTCTGTCTGTCTTTCCCTCTCCCTTCTACACTCTCTAAAAATCAATGGAAATATATCCTCGTGTGAGGATTAACAACAACAACAAAAAAGAATAAGCCTAGTGCAGAAAATAAAACTTTTATGAAAATATAAACTACAGATGCCCTGGCTGGTTTTGATCAGTGGATAGAGTGACAGCCTGCGGACTGAAGGGTACCGGGTTTGATTCCAGTCAAGGGCACATGCTTGGGTTGCGGGCGTGATCCCCAGTAGGGGGCATGCAGGAGGCAGCCAATCAATGATTCTCTCTCATCATTGATGTTTCTATCTCTCTCTACCTCCCCCTTCCTCTCTGAAATCAATAAAAATATATTTTAAAAAATATATATAAAATATAGAAAGTTTACCAGACCATGAAGACAAGTAACTTCAAATATGATTATAAAAATATATAAGAAAGGGTAAAGGAAATTACTTTTTTATGTTCTTAAAGTACACTGAGTTTTTAATGCAGCATTCTCAGTTGTAACAATCTCTTCAAACAGATAGACCAAAAATTTAAATATATACTCTCTTTTTTTGTATAATGCAAAGAAGAGAATAATATCAAATTTTATTTTACTTCAAGAAAACAATTTGTACTGCCTTACAAATGTTATTGTGAATTGCATTTATTTTTGGTGGCTATATTAATATTTAAGATTGCCCAGTGGGTTTTCATTTCTTCATAAATCTCTATGGCTACATCTACTCATCATTTAAAAAGCTTTCTTTACTTCCAAAGCCAAGCAAACATTACATTATATAGGGAGAAATTATAGGTGTGGCAAGGTGTTGCTTGATCAATCATTGTTGGGTAATTGTTGGACAGTTTTCAGAATTTCTACATCCACAAAACCAGTTTTAGATAAGAATCAAAATCACATTGCTATATGACTTAGCATGGCAGCTTGTATAATAATCTGAAAGTGAGCACAGTTTCCAAGTTTCTTTCCCCAAGTAACTTCCCACTGCAGGCCAGCAAGATCCTTCAAATAAGTGACATGTTATTTCAAATAAATATCAGGTTAGTTCAGGGTGGAAGAGACCTCAGGAATCAACATGTTTAATGGTTTGCAAACTTCCTTTTTTCCCCTAAGAAAATTTATATAGTATCCTAACTACCACAGGCATTGAAGTGGAGCATCTTGGCTTAAAGGGAGGCCCAGGGTGCAGAGCCAAACGTGAAATTTTGCTACCACTGATGTAACGGCTCCACAATAGGGCTTTATATGGGTATGTGATGTTACAGATCAGTACATACGTGTAGGCATAAGTATATATGCATATGTGTGTATATATATTCACATGTGTATAGTATATATATATAAAAATATAAATGTGTATGTCTCTCTGTTTGTATGTGCAATCTTCTTCTAAGTGCTCCAAGCATGAGTCATTTATTTTAGTATTTAAGAGAAAAGAAATTAAGGAAAAAGGTATCGGAATGCTTCCCAAATGATTTAATGAGGCCAGTATAAACCTTAGGTCAATATCTGACAAAGACATTTTTTTTTAAAATATATTTTTATTGATTCTTTACAGAGAGGAAGGGAGAGAGATAGAGAGCCAGAAACATCGATGAGAGAGAAACATCGATCAGCCGCCTCCTGCACACCCCCCACTGGGGATGTGCCCGCAACCCAGGCACATGCCCTTGACCGGAATCGAACCTGGGACCCTTCAGTCCGCAGGCCAACGCTCTATCCACTGAGCCAAACCGGTTGCGGCCAAAGACATTTTTTAAAATAAAAAGCAATCCCTCCCAAAGCACTACATCTTTAATTTTAGCAAATGGAAACTGGCCATATATAAAATTTTTATTCATCGTGACCAAATGATGCGCATGCCTGAATGCAAGCATAATGTAATGTCTGAAAGTCAATTGACATAACTTACCACACTAAAAAAAAATTTAAAGGTGAGGAATCACATGGTCATCTGAAATAGATGCATTAAAAGCAGTCAGCAAATCCCATATCCATTTATGCAAAAACTATCAGTAAAAAGGAATAGAAGGGATTCCTCAATCTGACAAAAACCAAGTATGGAAAACCTTCAGTTAACATCATGTTTATTGGTGAAATATTACATGATTTCCTCCTAAATTTCAGAGGTAGGAAATTAATATTGTACTGGAAGTCCCAGCCAATGCACTGATTAAGAAAATAAAACAAAAGCATAAAAATTGGAAAGGAAGAATTAAAACTCTCTCTAGTTGCAGAAGATATGATTGTTTACAAAAAATCATAGGAGATGTAAAAAAAAAACCAACTACTAGAATTTATAAGTAAAATTTTCAAGAATATAATTGCAAGGTTACTTTAAAAATCAAATGTATTTTTATGTACAATCAATAAACATTTGGAAAATATTATTTTAAATGAAACTTTCCAAAGTAACTCAAGAATAACTATGGGAAAATATTTGCAATTAATGCACATGGTATACCTCATATTTTATATTGCTGAAGAAATTGAAAAGAACCTAAGTAAAATATGAGATATACCATGTGCATTAATTGGAAGTGTCATTATTAAGATGCCAATCTTCTCCAAATCTATAGATTCAATGCAGTATCAATCAAAACTCAATTAGTCTTTTTTTTTTTTTTTAGAAATTGACAAGATACCCTAGTATTTTGAGGGAAAAGGCATGGAGTATTAGAAACAATTTAGAAAAAAACAAAACACAAAGCTGAAGTCAACATAGCATTGGCATAAGGACAGACACATAATCAGTGGAACAGAAGAGAGACTTCAGACGTAGATTGTCATATTATTATGGTCAATTGATTTTAAATGCAAGCATCACCGTAATCCAATGAGAAAGGATGCTCTTTTCAAGAAATGGTTCTGGAAGAACTAGCGATCTGTAAGAGGGGGGAAATAACCTTTGACCTCTATTTCCCAGCATAAAGACTAATATCACGTACCTTTTGAGTCACTGCTGCTGCTAAGCGGCCCCCAGAACTGTCTCCTGAAATACAGATTCGGGTGGGATCCACTCCATATTTCGTAAGAATTTTATCCTGAAGAAAAAACTTGACTGCAGCGATGCCGTCTTCAAACTGAGCAGGAAAGCGGTGTTGGGGAGCTAGTCTATAGCTTTGAAAAAGAAAAATGTATTTAAACAGTTTTAATAAGTACCATTATGGTTGTTCTGTCTCTGTAGCTTCCAAGTATCAAATAGATGTAATGAAACAGGTTTTATTGTTTTATCTTCCAAAAATCAAACCTGAGTTTTCTGCTAACTTATTATGATGTGAAAAAATAAAAATAGATATAAAGCTTTTCACATCATATCTAAGGTCCATGGACGGCATTGCATGTGAGATGTAAGGGGATTGTTATGAACTCCCTGATACTATCACCATAACTTTTAGTCCAAGTACATTTTGGATTGAAGATGCTCTATAGCTTACATCATATTCTTAGTGTAACTGGTGATCAAAAACATTTTTAAAAATGATTGAAAAAAGCACTATTGATGTTTGAAGGCAGAAGATCTGAGAGCATATTTTAGGCAAATGTCCTAATTTTTTAAGATCATTTAGACAAAAATTCTACACATTGGTAATGCACATCCCTCATTATGGATAATGCCCAAGAGTTGATTCTAAATAAAAATTTTGAAATATATATAACATTTAAATATGCTAGAAATCTTGCTAGTTTCTGGTAAATTCACACTATCACACAATTCTTTGAATAGATATAGATTTTTCATATATATATATATATATATATATATATATATATATATACCAGTAAAAGTAGAACACCTCTATTAGCCTGTTCTCAGAGCTAACTTTTATTTTTTCTTTAGAATGTTAAAACTTATAAATATTTGCACTTAATATTAAATGTTTTTGAGATGATCCTTAAATATTTATTATAAACTGTATTTAGAAAATCCTAAGTAAAGTGTATTTAAACATAAGTATGTACCCAAAAGATGTTGGTATCTACTATTTTAAGTACAGTCGATTGAGACTTTTTAGGGCAAAGTACAACACATATCATAAGAATTTGATAGAATAGATATGCCAACCAGAAATATATCATTATAGTAAAACATATTTGAAATGATAAGATTTAGATTACATTGAAAGTTATGGAGGTAAGAAGGAGAATGTCATGTTATAAATATTCTGAAGACAGGAAGTTACTCTAGATACTGTAAGTAACCATAACTATAACAATGTCAATCATACTTTAGTTGAGGAAATTTTACTTTAGTTTTTCCTCTAAATTTCCATAGCTTCAAGCAAGCAAACAAACAAACAAACAAAATTATGTTACAATATCCTGAGAGAACTATAGAGATCACTTTTCTGGGGAGTGGTTTGAAATTATCAGCTGATCTCAACCTTTACTTTCTATAATACTTCAAAGACTTATTCTGAAGTGAAACATATCAACTCAGATACAACCTAACATCCCCAATGTGTAATTGTTTATTTTTTTTCTCTCTAGCCATGTTTCTTGGGACATAAGTAGGGCCTTATACAATCTGAGTTTAAGAACCCAGAGCAATAATGTTTTAAAAAATATACAGAAATTCCCATATCACAGAAGAATAATGAGATACTAGGCATATTTGAAGACTGCTCTATGTTGTAATGGTGACAAATAAAATATGTAAATTCTTAAATATTATCTTTGAGGCATAGGTGACTTGATTAGGAAATAAAACCTCTATTCTGTGAAAACGAAAATCATACTAGCCAAAGAAAATTATTCTCTTACTCCACTCCTACAACAACAGCATCAAGTTTGTTTGCAGTCCATCTGTTGAGGAAGTCAAAAGCCGTCTGCTCTGAAATGAAGAAATGAATGTCAAAATTCTCCTTGTAATAAAAAAACAACACCAGAAAATCATAGCTATGAACTTGGACAGAAATGTGATTTGGGTATTACAAGGAACCATTTTCCTACCACTTTCTTTACGCAGAGTGACCTGAATCAGCATGACACAGTCTACAGGAGTGCTTCTTCAGTTTCTCTCCCCAGGGCTAAACAAATTATGTGGCTCATTGGTGCTTTGGGGAGTTGAAACTAGACTCAGCCCATTCTAATTTTCTCTGGTCATATGTTGTCTGCACTCTGCTTCTCCAGGCAGCTAGCCAGTACAGATGAGTCTCTGACTCAACAATACCTGAATACACATTCTCCAAGCTTCACTAGAAACAATGGTTCTGTTTTGATTTTATTTACCTGACCTTTGTGTATAATCTTTCTTTTTTTTAAATTTTGTTTTATTGCTTAAAGTATTACAAAGAGTATTACATATGTCTCCTTTGTTTTCCCCCCTTGACATTCCCCTGGCCTCCCCTACCCCCCAGTGTCTTGTGTCCATTGGTTATGCTTACATGCATGCATACAAGTCCTTCCGTTGATCTCTTACCTCCCCCCCTCACCTGCCCCCCAACCCTCCCCGGCCTTCCCGCTGTAGTTTGACAGTCTGTTCGATGCTGCTCTGCCTCTGTATCTATTTTTGTTCATCAGTTTATAATCTTTCAATTGGCTTAGAACTAAGAAATGAAAAAAACAATAGATGCATTGACTGTCTAAAACTACAACATTAAATAGCATTGTGAAATGGCCCAATAACCTTGGCATGTAAGACAAAGTCTATAAAAAAGCAGCTAGATTGTGAGAGAGTCTCTGACAAGTCAGCGTGTGGTTTGATGGACATATTCATTTTGACATGTTTGTCATACAAGTCATCACTCTCCCCCCAACACACACACACACACACACACACACACGCACACACACACACACCCCACATCTATCTCTATGTACCCACAAATCCAATTTACCGGTTCAGTGCCCTGGTCACAGCACTTTGGCAAATCTGCAACACCTATTATTACTTTATTTACCACAAGAGTCTAGAAATTCAGAGAATTCTAGAGTTGTGATCAAATTCTAAGCTTTTCTAAAGTGTCTGCTGCATATTAGCAAAACTTCAAATTATATACTGGGTATGTAATAACCTTAAAATAAAAAATAAAAAAATCAATTAGGCTTTTATGTAGAAAAAAATAATGTTTTCATTAAAGATGGAATTGATAATGTGGGAAAAGGCAATGTATAGATGAAGATCAAAATGTATAAGAATCCATTGATCCTCACATTTAAAGTTCCTCAATGATGTATTTCAAACATAATTTTACTGTCATCTACCAATTCTTTTTTTGCTTATCTTTTTTTAAAATTTGATTTCAGAGAGGAAGGAAGAGGGAGAGAGGGACAAAAACATCAATGATGAGAGAGAATCATTGATCTGCCTCCTCCTACACGCTCCACACCGGTGACCAAGCCCACAACTCAGGCATGTACCCCTGACCGGGAATCAAACTGCAACCTCCTGCCCCACAGGTCAACACTCAAACACTGAGCCACACTGGCTGGGCTGTTTTGCTTATCTATATACATAAAAGCCTAAGCGACAGTCTGACCATTCGACCATCTGACCGTTTGACCATCTGACCGTTTGACCATCTGACCAGTAGCTATGACACGCAATGACCACCAGGAGGCAGACACTCCGACTGATAGTTTTGATGTGCACTGTCCACCATGGGGCAGATGCTCAACACAGGAGCTGCCAAGCTGAGATGACCTGGCAGCTGTGGTTTTCAGGTGATGCACCAGAACCAGAGAGGAGGGAGCCTGATTCCGGGGTGCATCGCCTGAGAACCACCCTCTTGCAATCCAGGACCCCTCAGGGGATGTTGGAGACCTGGTTTCGGCCCAATCTCCCCCAGGCCAGGCTGACGGACCCCATCGGTGAACAAATTTGTGCAATTGGTCTATAGTTTTATAATAAAAGTTAATTTAAGTTTTTATTTTCTATTCTATAATGAAAACTGTCCCAATGCACGTAATATTTGCAATGTGATATTTTTTTCTTTTTTATATGCCCATTTATTGAATTTATAGTACTTTTAGGATTTAGAAAGGAACAAGAAGTCATTAGGATAAATGTTGAAAAGCAATAAACACAGAAGTATGTAAAAAGTCTACTAGAGCAGTGGTCGGCAAACTGCGGCTCGCGAGCCACATGCGGCTCTTTGGCCTCTTGAGTGTGGCTCTTCCACAAAATACCGACTTCTGCACATGGGCCATGAAGTTTCAATAGCACTGTACGTGCACGCCTGCACGTGGTATTTTGTGGAAGAGCCACACTCAAGAGGCCAAAGAGCCGCATGTGGCTCGCGAGCTGCAGTTTGCCGACCACTGTACTAGAGGATTTTTTAAAAAAAATGTCTTAGTTCTTAAAGCAACTTTGGCAACTTTTAACGAAAAAAATAGAAAGCCTAGTGAAAAAAAGAAAAGAAATCAAAATTTGCAAAAACCAGGGAATAGTTGCTGCATCTGTCCTGATTTGTCAACAAACAAAAAGTATCCTAAGTAATTCACAGTTTACCTACATGAGTTCTGGGAGATCCAAAAACATACAATATGCACATATAAAACAAAAACATAGAAAAAAGGCACAACTGGAATTCAGCTGAACTAAATGTTAGAATGTAATGTCCTGAATAATAATTTCATATTTTTAGAAATTACTGATCACCATCATTGCCCTTGACAATGAAGAAGAAATCAATCTAATAATCAGGAACACTTCCAAATATTTTTAAATAGTTATTTTATTTCTTTTTAAATTGTAATTAAATTTTTTCTATTACCATTTATCCCTCTATGCCCTCTTCAATCTCCACTTAACCCCCTCTTATTTTCAAATTTCAAATTTCAAAGTGATATCTTCCCATCTGTGGGTATTTCTCTTGTACTTACGGAATTCCCAATAATATGAATAGGAACACTTGGATATTTCATAGACCTTATAAAAACTTCAGTGGAATTAATTATTGTCTTTGTAGACAAATGAAGCTAACTTAGTCTTTAATTTATCTTAAAAGGAAGCTAAATATGCTGATCATCCTAACGCCCAGTATAAATTGAATTATAGATGAAATCTAATTTACTGAAAACATTAAGAAAAGGAAAAAGGCATAAAAGTACTAGGAAATTTTTTTTTGATAATCACTCTGGAGATCTGTAACAAAATTCCCTTTGACTACTTTTTTTTTTCCAAAGGACATTTGTTGAACATTTACTGTATGGAAAGTGCTTTGCTAGATACTAGCTAGGAGGTCATGCCACATACAAGGAGATGCTAAAACAAACATGTAACACAATTGTGAAACAAAGCAAGAATTGTTGGTACCAAGCTTATACAAGCTGCAAAGGACATACAGGAATGCTGCTAAAATCTTATAGAACCAGGGAAGCCTACACACGTACACACTTGAGCACACCCCCTCCCCAGCATGTGTACATATGTGCACATGTGCACACACAGCTGATACTTTGCCTAAACATAAAGGTTGAGAAGGAGTTTTCTAGAAGTAAGATCAGAAAGACATGCTAGGAAAGCATAGTCACAGATCGAAAAAGAAAAAGTTTACTAATTGACTTTCATGTCCTACATTCATTTGATATAAGCTTACTCAGTGAAAAAAGCTGAGAAGAAAATGCTTACCAAAAGACAAAACAAAGCAAAAAAAATGGAAATGACAATCTCCATGATATATTTTGCCAGATATGTCTAAGTATATTTCTCTGCTAGGTACCTAATATTTATAGCTATACTATGCAATATATATATATATATATATATATATATATATATATATATATGTAGATCTATGTATATATGTAAGTATATTTATATCAAATTGTTCTTATATCAGAAACATATAGCTTGTTATACTCTTTACTTATATGATGAACTTACTGAAACTTCCGAAACAATAAGCTCCACCATGAATATAGATTACAGCTCGTCTTGGGGTTTCTGACTTTCTCTTTGGCAAGTACACACGTACTGGAATGTCAGTAAATGCTGTATCAGTCACTGTGACGTTTTCATCTGAAAGTGGTTGGGTATAATCCAGCCTGAATATCATGGAAATAAAGTCTTCATATGTCATAATACCTATATTTTCAAAGCACATACCCTGTAAGAGCAGAACAAAGTAAATGTTTTCATCTTTAAATAACATCAAATGCATACAGAGGGAAAGTAAAGAAAACATAAGCAAAATAAATAAACAGAAATAGACTGTTTATAAAAATTGTTTCTGAATAATATTGTATAATTCTTATTTCATAACTTTATTGCTGTTGAAAATCTCAAGTATTATGTTTTTAGGCTAATAACTATCTCATTCAGAAGCTTCAATTTACTAACAGTTTTTTTAAAATCATAATTATTGCTTAATTGTAAATAATTACCGGAAAAATCTCTAAGTCTTATAACATCCTTCCTTCCTTTCTTTTTGGCATGCTGTCATATTTTCATCTTTGTTATTTTTAATTTTATTTAATCCAAAATATTAACTATCATCTAAATGATTCAAATGTCCTAGTTTTTAATTCCAAATAGATTCCTGTTCATAGTCCTTTCACCATTCCCTCCCCCCTGCAACCAAGCCCCCCAATACCATATTTGATATAATTGAAAAAAAATCTCTCCTTAGTATTTCTGAAGAGCTTCTTCAGGACCTTGGTGACATTTCACTGGATAGTTTATTAAAAAGAAAAACTTAAAAAATACATGGTCAATAGTACATTAAACAGCCTTTATTACTATAATTATCCCAAAGAGTGTAAGGTATTACAGGGATTTAGAGAACATCTAATCCCCACACTTTAATGTTGAGGAAACATGCAGAAACTAGAAATTATAGCCAGTAAATCTCAAAGCCAAGTCTGCAACCATTTTTCTAGATTAGTTTCTTATACCACCTGTACTGTCTGTCTGACTTTAAGCAAATTACTCACTGTACTGCAATTTTCTTATCTATACTAATAAAAGGATAATATGCTAATTAGACCGGATGTCTTCCAGATGACCATCAGGATGTCCTTCCTGACAAAACTGGGCCCAGGAGAAACCACCCACCCTGCGGTCCCGGGTGCCTGTGGCCAGCCAGAGGAGGGAATCCCGGGTCCTGGGTGTGGGGCCAAAGCAGATGTGGTTAGGGGAAATCAGGCTGGCAGGGGAGCAGTTAGGGGTGATCAGGCAGGCAGGCAGGCAAGCAGTTGGGAGCCAGCAGTCCCGGATTGCAAGAGGCATGTCTGATTGCCAGTTTAGGCCCGATCCCCCACAGGGAGTTGGCAGTCAGACATCCCCAAGGGGTCCAGGATTGGAGAGGGTGCAGGCTGGGCTAAGTGACACCCTCCTGCCTGTGCATGAATTTCGTGCACCAGGCCTTGAGTTAATAATAATATAGAATTCCTCACTGGGTTTTAATAGGGTTTACATGAGTTAGGACTTTCAATGCATTGTAGAAGAGTGCCTAGCCCATGTAAGTACTCAGACAATCTTGTCTTATTGTTAGTTAAGCATTCCTCACTAACATGAGCTTTTTAGTGTTTTAATCCTAATTGCATGCACTCACCTACAATGTTCCTTAAAGCATGTTTTTGGTAAGTGGTTAAATTGTGTTAATTTAATTTTTCATTTGGTGAATTGGCTTTTAAAAATTAGATTTTTGGCAAATTACCTTTTTTTCATTTCTTAGATAATTCCTGGTTTTGAATAGATACTTAAGTATTTTTGGAACAATATTAAAAGCTACCCCTTTAGAGATTATTTTGTGTTTGCCTAGCATACAAGATCTCTGTTTCTCAGAGCAATGCTGCAAAGTATTTATCATTATTATCTTCCTTTTAAAGGAAAAAAAAAACTTGCTTGAAGAACTAAGGAAATTTCTCAGGATTGGGCATGTTTCCTTCTCAAATATATCTGTCAACATATGATAACATAGTAATTGTGTTTATTTTTCAAGGCCACTTTGCCAAGAACTTTAATTTTCACTTCCCTTTCATATGTTAAAAATTATTTTTTCTTACTGGTATCACAACTTTGAGTTACAAAATTCAGTACTGACAACAATAAAATTGTTTTCCCTATAACAGCTAAAGACAGTTTATTTTACTAGAATAATCTTTAAAGTAATTACATATGTGCTTTTCTCAATATGTTTTTGAGGAACCCATCTATGATATCAAATACATAAAGTGCATTATTTTACTATAGATAGGTAAGAATAATTTGTTGTTAAGAAAGTAAAAGTAGAACTTTAAAGTTGGCTGTTCTGCTGATGTAATTTTGATAACATCAGTGTCAGTCACTCTGAGTTTTAAATACATATGAAAGAGTTAAGTAAGATAACAGCAGTTTCTCTACGGAGCTGGCGCTTGTTAATCCACATATTCTTTGATTTTGTGTAAAGTGAAGTGAGAGCATTAGGAAAAGACAGTCTGTTGAAAGTGAGCCTCTAGGAGTGGTTCGAAAGAAAAGTATCAGGACTTAGCAGACACAGACAGGAAATGGCTGTGGTTTCAGAGAACTGTCATCACTATACAAAGCTCCATGGGACAGCCTCTCCCTCTTAGACCAGGGATTGCTCACTTCTCTAATCATCTGCTGTCGCTGTCTTCTCCTTGCAGCCTCATATTGTTACTCTCCTCAGAGAACCTTTCCGGGAGCCACCTGGTTTTGCAGAGAGAGTTTGAGTTTTGAAACCAGGCAGTCCTGAGTTCAGATTCTGGAGTTGTCAATTTCTAGCTGCATGAACTCTTCTGAACCTCTTTTTCCTCCTCTTTAAACCAGTAAAAACAATTGAAGGATAGTGGAGATGAGCTGAGGTATATATCATAGAAAGCCTATGCATTATAAAACCTAAAAAATGTTAGTTTATAACCACGTCTTCTCCTTTCCAAGGAGCTATTTTTGCTTGAATTCATAATCTACCCTGCATATTCCAAGTCAGACAATCTGAAATCCAGCAATGTAGAATTGAAGATGGACAATAGAAGCCGTTGAAATAGTAAGAGCCCTATATTACTATCAAACAGGTACAAACATCAATGCTTAGCTCTGTCCTACGGAACTAGACTGTCCCTGGAAACTCAAATATAAGTCAAGCTATCAAATAAACTTCCAAGTTTTCCCTTAAAAAACACCTTTTATTTTATACATATCATAACAGATAGAGTTTACATTTAGGCATAAACTCTTTGGAAACAAGAATTCTGTCTCATTCTGTTTTGCACCGATGTACCAAGTTGTACTTACTTAATTTCATCTAGTTGATGTATTCTAAAGAACAAGCAGTGGTTATTTAAAAACAGTAATTAATAGAAAATTCATAAGTTAACAAGGCACCCCAATATCCAGAAGAAAAAATGGTCATCTTACCATAAATGTACAAGTTTTAAAAATTGCATCCAAGGACATTACTTTCCAGCGTTCTTCAATGTTGCCTGGTATGGGTTTATAAATATAAGAAGCAAAGAGAACACAAAACAGCGCCAAACAGAGAGCTTTGGACCCCATCATATTCCTCTTTCCAGCCTCTTCACACTGCCAAGATTAAAAAAAAAATTCTATTAATATTAAATAATAAGTAGCAGAACAATGTAGCTTGGAAACCCTCTCAGGGAATGTGATAACCTTAACAACATGAAGTTAATCTTCAAGTCTAACATTACAACATCAGTAGAAACTTATATTGCACTGACTCTGAGAGAGATGTAATTTGTCAGCTGATGCTTATATCATTAGCATGCAATTAAAACCTCCCACAGTGTTCCTCACCCTGGTATACCATCATCAGCTCAAAGCAAGTGTATTATTGAGACCTAAATCAGAGCTTCAAGTAGAGCTCGGAATAAGTGACAAAGTAACATTTTGTGATTGGTTGGTCACAATGCTTTATAAAAAGAGGTTTAAAAAAATTAGCTGATACTTAGTCAAACCATGTTAATAAACATTGCTTGTTGTGGTGGTCAAGCTTTGGGTCAATAAATAGGGAATATGGAGTCTTGTCCAACTTCCATAATCCATGAAGCTGAAACTTTTCAATAGATCAAAGTAGCACAAGGCTCACTACAAGTATTTCAGAAAACATTCTGGATTTTTTTCTTTTTAAAGAATCACATAGATTTTGCTCATATAGTTAAGTGGAAAATCTTTAAAATTAATTTACATCAGGAATTTAGCCTAGTGTGGCAGGAAATATCAAATACAAATATTGGACTCATACCTACTGCAACCTGAGAGCCTGACAGACACCTGTCCAAATAGCTGATCACTTGGAGGTTCTTTAGAGATGCAAGGCCTACAGATTTTCTGTGTAATATGTCCGGACCTAGAAGATAAATGAATAGTCATAACTCCATAAATCCACAATTCTCAAGCTCATCGACCAGGGATCAATACTTAGGGGAAGTAATTTTTAGTGATAGACTTCAGTTCAGTCAGGGCTCCAATAAAAGTATATATTAGACTTCTTGAAAGCATAAGTACTAATTTCAACGTCTATCATAAACTTAATTATTGAAATGGTTACTTTTATTCATCTATGCTGTAATCTTTCCTGAATCCCATAAACAAAACTTAGCAGTATAATTTATCATTCAAACAAGAACACTATTAAGAGTGAAAGAGACAATATTAACAATAATGCACATAAACTGGACAAATTGTGACTCATGGTCTTACCCAAATCATAACTCTTTTACCAAATTTAATTTAATTGGCGTGCCTGCCTTTACAAGTAGACTGTAAGGTTATTGAAAAAAGACACAATATATATTTACTGAGTCTAAAGGTACTGATAAGTTCATTGTTAATTTGAACCGATAAAAAGTAAAATTTGTCAAATATCTCCAGGTCCCTGGGTAGCATAAGGTGCCTAACTTGCCACCCAACAGACAAGAACAACACTGCACTCCTACCACTCTCTATAGTATACTGATTTTATTGCAGATGGTTACATGAGGTTATTATGACCATCTAGTGCTGCATAAATAGAGTATACTTGTAAACAAAGGATCAGCTAAGGAATAAACAACAGTCATAGGCAATAGAATGTCTGAACAAATATTCTTGATCTATCAGCTGTCATGGCTTGTTTGCTTAATTGATTGATTAATTAGCTTTCTGAAGGAAATAAATTATTTCATAACAATAAATATGTATGTATTTTGCTTATTTTGTTTGATATCCTCAGCCAGGTCTTTGCTGTAACCCAGCGTAGAATCTAAATTCACAGTGTACACTCCAATTTAATAATTGGCAGCCTGCTCAAATACATCAGCCTTGCAACTCACATGCTCTAGCTACCCAAGAGTTTAGTTCTGTATTTTTTTAACTTTTTTAAAAAAATATATTTTATTGATTTTTTACAGAGAGGAAGGGAGAGGGTTAGAGAGTTAGAAACATCGATGAGAGAGAAACATCGATCAGCTGCCTCCTGCACATCCCCCACTGGGGATGTGCCCGCAACCGAGGTACATGCCCTTGATCAGAATCGAACCCGGGACCCTTCAGTCCGCAGGCTGATGCTCTATCCACTGAGCCAAACCGGTCAGACTATTTTTTTAACTTTTAAAATTAGGTATTATTATTAATAGCTTATATAGACAAGTTGTTTTATATGTAGACACATTAATCATTATATTTGTTCAATATTTTTTATGTACATTGGCAGATACCTTTCTTCCATATAATCACTGAGGGACTCAGCTTCTTTCTTTGGTTGTCTCAATAATTTTCTTTTTTTCTAGTCTTAATCCAGCCAGCAGAAGCGAAAAGAGACTGTTGTGGAGGCACAGTAGCTTCTTATTACCTTTAGCCCAGAATGACATACATCAGTCACTTCCACCCACTTTTTATTGGACAAACACTAGTCATCGAGCGACATCTTGATGCTTCAAAATCCATAGTTTTCTTCCCAAGGGAAACAGCCCAAAGTTATTCAGATTTTACATCCAGATGAAGTCAAAGCTCTTTGGGTGATGCTTAGTCTAGCAAGCTGAATGATGGCCGTCTACAGATACCAGGTTCTAATCCCTGGAATCCACACATTATTTGATAAATTAAAGAAGGTCTTTTCATATGTAATTAAATGAAGAAACTTACCATTTGGAGATCATTCTGGATTATGTGAATGAGCTTTCGATGAAATCACAGCTGTCCTTATAAGAGAGACACAGCAGAAAGAGGAGAAGACAGGAAAGGAGAAGGTTGTGTAAGGATGATGCAGAGATTGAAGTGATGTGGTAACAGCAAAGGAAAACCAGCAACCACCTAAAGCTGAAAGAAGCCAGAAATGGATTCTCCCCCGAGCCTGCAGAGGGAGTAGAGCCTGGCCAACACCTTGATTTCGGTTCAGGGAAACTGATGTACTTCTGACATCCAGAAATGTGAGACAGCAAACTTTTGTTGTTTGAAGCCACCGAGTTTGTGATCATTTGCTACAGTGGCCACAGGAAACTAATATACTCAGACAGGGACTCCTCATGATCATTTGAACATCTTTTTTGGTGGGTTTTAAGGAGAGCAAAGAAGTTAAGTAGTAACCAGACCTTCTTTATTTGCAGGAGGGAAAACAATCAGCACTGGGTGTCACAATACTGATGGTTTGGTGGCATAACGGTTGATAGTGTTTCACCATGAGAAATGTATAGGGAACACGCAGCGTAGGTCTGCCTCTTCAGTGTTCTTTGGAGTTGCCATGTTTCTCTTTTAACCTTTAGATTGCCCACAAGAGACTATGCTTACTAGGCTTTCAACTATCACAGTCAATTACTATTTGAGTGTATTTCATCTATCGCTTACCTGTTAGCAATGGTGGGTAAGGAATGAGAGACTTGACCTTAATGTAGTGGGAAATAAATGTAGTCCTTTCCCCTGGTTGAATTAGTGTCATCCTGATTTCCATTGAGTTAATTAACTCTCCCAGTTGGGGCCACTTTGGTGAAATAGAAAATCACAGTGCTCTCTCTTCTAAGGAAGGAACAGGCATATGACTAAGCAAGAGAATCTAGACCTACCTACTAAAGACTTTGACTTTTGAGTAGAGAGACTTAAGGACAGGAGCATGTTTAGAGCTCATTGCCTTTTGCAGTTATCCTTGACAGGATGATCGAGTATGCCTTCCACCTGGACTCCAGAGAAGCTTTTTTTAAAAGCCTTTCCTGAGCCTGAAACTCCAGATTACCTGCCAATTTCGTAAGCTTCCCAATAACATTAAAATACAGTTTATGCTTGCTTAAGTTGGACCAGCTAGATTCTGTTGCTTGCAATGAGATAACCTTAAATCTACAGGAAGTTATAAAATATCTTCTGACATCTTGAGGGTATTCTGAATCTGGAGTAGAAAAGGGGAGCACCTTTTAGTAAGAAAGTTATGAAAGGAAATGGTAACTTACATATTTATTTGGCTAAGGGCAAAAGTGTTCCTTAATACCTCTAAATATTATCACAGTTTCCTTGATCCATCTGTTTTAAAATGTCTACATCACTGAGGGAGTAGTTTTCCATTCTGATAACTTCAGAGGTGTTTTAAATTATATATCTAACATGTGTACGCCCCACACTGGGGATCTAGCCCACAACCTGGGCATGTGCTCTGATCGGAAATCGATCTGTGATCTCCTGGTTCATAGATCAATGCTCAACCACTGAGCCATGCCAGCCAGACAAAAACTACTTTATTTTAAAAGTAGATAGTTTATCTTATTTCATTTGATATTTTTACTGATCAATATCTGTGTGGATATGTCAGCAGCACTTCCAATAAAGAATTTTTTTTCAAACAGAATGGATAAAGAAATTACTTTGATAATATTTATTCTTTTAGATGTTATATTTATGTTGGTAATAATTGGATAGTTTAAAAATTATTTTTAAAAAATCTGGGTATAAGGTAGTATGCTGTTCCAGAAATTTTGGAAAAATGTCTTGGAGAGGGGGCACAGCAGCTGTCTGAATTTCTAATAATGTTCAGACCTACTTGAGATGGAGTTAGTTTTCCTACAGATAATGTCTAGAATCTTTAGTAAACCCCACTATTTACAGAGAGCTACGAAGAGTAAACTGTAAGTTGGCCCGCCTGTTGAGCTCTGCCAACAGGTTTTAAGAACCATTTCTGCCAATAGAGTTGGAAAGCTTTTATGGGAGTTAAATGACATTAGAAATTACTATGGGGTATATATGCAAGGGTTGAGAGGGATGGTGAGAATATGGAAATAAATGATGTGGAAAAATGAACCCCAATCCATAACTCAGTTGACAATGGTTTGATAATAATTTGTAAAAATGGAGTGAAAAATAGGTAATTTATTACTCTAATTCCTGGTTCTTTTTTTATTTTTAGAATTCAACTTTGTATGTTGAGATTTGATTTTATTTATGCTATTAGCTAAGTATAAAAGCATACATGTTGTGTTTGTGGTACATTCAATACATTTGCAACTTTTCGACCTAAATTCTCTATAAAAAGTCACTGCCAATTGATATGCTTACTGATGGCAAGGGGCTTAGAATAACCGAAAGGTATAATAAGTTTGTAGTCTTGCCCCAAGAATCAAACGCTGGATTTTAAACAATGTCATAACATACATGACTTAAACAGTATATAAAAAAGTCATATATCAAATTAAGTACAAAAGTACCCAAACTATTTATTATGAACTGTA